GTTCATCAGATAGGAGCGCTTGCAGAGGGCCCAGGTTAATTATTAAGATTTAAAAGTAGAAATCTTAATGTAGGTTGTAGTAGGAGCTGTGGGTTGCATTCTGCCACCCAGCTCTTGCCACAGGCTAGCTTTACCCGAAATAACAACACACAAATTGTATTCTTTTAAACACTGCTTGACCCATTATATCTAGCCTCTTCTCGGCTAACTCTCGCACCTGGACTAGCCCATTTCTAATAAAGTGTGTAGCACCGAGGTGCGCTTACCGGGAAGATTCTAGCCTACGTCCATCCTGAGCCGGAGCTTGATCGCGTCTGCCCTGGAGAGGGGAGGCGTCTCTGAGCTCACTTCCTCTTCCTCCCAGCATTCTGTTCTGTTTACTCCACCCACCTATGCTTTAACCAATAAAATGGGCCAAGGCAGTTTCTTTATTTTTTAACCAATGACCTTCCTCTATCAGTAGGTTGCATTGCATAAAGCAGATTCTTTAGTAGGTCTCAGGCAGGACATTTGCTAGGGTTATTTTTATCCTTACTGTAGTCACTTTTTCTGCTTCCATGTATGTGCAACTCACGTGTGCCTGGTGCCTGTGGAGCTTGGAAGAGGGAATCTGGTCCCCTGGAACTAGAGTTGTAGGTGGTTGTGAGCCATCGAGTGGGTAATAGTCGCTAAGCGTGGATCCTCTGCAAGAGATCTAACTGCTGGGCCCTCTCTCTGGACCTCCTTTCTCAGTCATCCACTCTACATAGCAGTCCACAAAACAAGTTAGTAAATAGTCATTTAAGCTCCTTAGATATTGAAAACATTTTACACACTTAGAAAGATATGCCCATCCTCAGATAGGAAAACAGGGCAGTGTTGTGGGACAGACCCGGTGGTTCTAAGTTAAGGTGGTATCAGTGAGGGGTGGTCAAAGAACAGACTCATTGGTGCTGAGGAAGGGGTAAGAGGAACAAGCATGTGTGGGTTGGAATCCTTTTCTGCCATGAGGGTCAGTGCTCTGGGAATTCATGCCCAGTGAGAGTTAATAGTCATAAAGACAGTTTACCTTGTCAGAAAATAGAGTTTGATTCTGATTTTGTAACGTTGTTTTAGTTCCTGTGACCTGAAGTACACAGAAGGAGTACAATCCCTCAACTGGACTAAAATCATGAAGACCATTGTTGATGATCCTGAGGGCTTCTTTGAACAAGGTGGCTGGTCTTTCCTGGAACCTGAGGGTGAGGTGCGTGAGTGTGGGGTTTTTTTTTTTTTTTTAGTTTGGTATGCAGGGTTGCCTAATGCCATCTAGAGGTAGGGCTAAAGGGCCTGACCAGCACAACATGGTATTATTGTTTCTTTAGGTAAACGATGAAGTCATTGGGCATTGGTAGTCACTAACCACATTGCTTTAATTTATAAAATTATTCCTCACAAAGTTTCTTAGTGTTTGGAGGAGATGGGATTGAGGCTTATTTCAAAAAGTACTTCAAAAAAAAATTGTCCTCCTGTGGCTGAAGAGATAACTCAGCAGTTAAGAGCACTGCCTACTCCCCCAGAGGACCCAAGTTAAATCCTAGCACCTACATGGTAGCCCACAGCCATCCAACTCTAGTTCCAGAGGATTTGAAGCCCTCTTCTGTCTCCACAGCACTGCCACACACGGTTTGTAGGCATACATGCAAGTAAATTCTCATACATACAAAATTAAAAAATAAAATAGAATCTTTAAAAAATAAATAGCCCCCAACTGTGGTGATGCACACCTTTAATGTCTGCACTCAGAAGCAAGGAGGTGTCTGAATTCAAGACTAGCCTAGTCTATATAGCAAGTACCGGGTAAGGGCTACACAGTGAGGCCATGTCTCAAAGATAAATTCTTATTTTTAATTAAAAACCTACTTTAAATAGAGCTCCTACTTTGGCATAGTGCTTTAATACAAAGTGTGTTTCTGTCATTAATTTCTACAGATAAAAACAGGAATTGGCTGTTTGAGAATCTAATAAGTGTACTTTAATGAATAATTTTAAGACAGATACTTTATTTCTTGGTCATTTGGTTCTCTTTATATATGAAATGCTAGTGGACTGAGATATTAAGTCACTTTGTTAACAAGGCGAATATGAGAGAAGTAGTAAATGAGACTTATACTTTCTGTGCTTCACCAGGGGAGTGACGCTGAGGACGGGGATTCTGAGTCTGAGATTGAAGATGAGACTTTTAATCCTTCTGAGGATGATTATGAAGAGGAAGAAGAGGACAGTGATGAAGATTACTCGTCAGAGGCAGAAGAATCAGGTTAGAGAGTATTTGTTGGACTATAGAAATGACTCAGTGTTTGGAGCAACACTCACTCTTACAGGTCCTGAACATGGATCCTCTGCGTGCACATAAAGCCAGTCATAGCACTAGGGAATGAGAGTCGGGAAGGGGGCACAGAGGTGAGAACCGTGGGAAGGAAAGAAAGAGGAGTTGCAGGCCCACTGAGAGGCCCCGATGGAAGGCAGCAAGGTATAAGAGAGGACATTAAACATCCTCCACACGCACAGGAGACATCAGTTTTAAAGGAGAAGACACCTATCATGGCTTCCTCATCTGATATCATTCCTAGAGATTGCTTTTAGAAAAGGAAAATATTCAACATTCTATTGTATTTCTGCACGAGTAATAAGCACTCAATATTTTTCCAGACTATTCCAAGGAATCTCTGGGCAGTGAAGAAGAAAGCGGGAAGGACTGGGATGAGCTAGAAGAAGAAGCTCGAAAAGGTAAATTTAAAATTTGTTGTTTTGGGTGACTTACTCATTTAATTTATGTACCAATGCTCGGCACTATTCTTTGTTCTGAGATGTTAATGTTAAAAGCCCATGAGGATTGGGAAGATCACTATAAAATTGTTAGGGAGACGGCTCAGTGGGAAACGTGGTTGCGTTGAGGCTTAGGAACTTGAGTGTGGGGCCCCCAGAATCCTTATATAAAATTTGGACACATCAGTCTGTGCCTGTGATCCCAGTGCTGGGGAGGCAAAGATCCTTGGGCCTTGTTGGCTGGCCTGTCTACACCAGGTTCAGTCCCGGACCCTGTCTCCTAAGGTGGAGAGCAGTGGAGGGAGACAGCTAATGTCAGCCTCTGCCCTGCGTGCTTCCCCAAACACGGGCACACAGAATGCACACGCATACATATGAGAACAGGTGGAACCTGGCCAGATGAGAGGTGGGCTTGACTCCATCTCTGTAATCTTCTCACTGTGCACAGCGGTGTGACTCCCCACTCAGAGTTACGGTTAGGAATATTGTCTAGTTGGTGCTAGTACACAAGTTATTAAAAGTTAAAATGAATGTGTTAGCAGTGTGGTAAGTGCTCTGGGCAGGTAGCCTTTGAATTCTCCTTGTAAATAAGCTCAGGCTCTGAAAGATTAAGCACTTGTCTGGATCCTGTAACTAGTGCTGACCAGATGGAGAGCCACACTCGGGGTGACAGGCTGGCTCGTGCTATCCATTGATAGTATGTGTCTTAAGCTAATGAATCATTCTGCCTTCTGCTTAGCGGACCGTGAAAGCCGTTATGAGGAGGAGGAAGAACAGAGTCGAAGTATGAGCCGGAAGAGGAAGGCATCTGTACATAGTTCAGGCCGTGGCTCAAACCGTGGTTCCAGACACAGCTCTGCACCCCCCAAGAAGAAGAGAAAGTAATATGAACCTTGGTCCTCTGCTCTATTCTCTCTGCAGACAACTCCTAACAATCCGACATGACATAGAAACTGTTTCTCCTTTTGGTTTCGTTGAAGTTTTGCCGTTTGTGTTTATGGGTTTAGGGGCCATTTGTGTGGACCAAGCTACTCGGGGAATTCCAGGCCCACCAGGACATGTGCCAGTGGCCCCGTTCCGATGGCTGGCGAGGGAGGCGATGTTGAAGGGCAGGAGGCTCCTCCCACCCTTGATACCGTTTGTTTTCTTCTGACAACCTATCTTTGGTGTTTCAAAGCTGAATTACCAAGACAGCAGTATAAGCTGACCATTAACTATTTCTACTATGGTTCTTTTTCTTTGCATTTTTATTTTTTTCATGGCTTTTTGAGACAGTCTTGTTATGTAGCTGTGGCTGACCTTGAAGTCACTGTAAACCAGGCTGGCCTCAAACTTGTAATCCTCTTGCTCTGCCTCCCAAGTGCTGGGATTGTAGGCCTGAGTCACCGTCCTTAGCTGAAGCATGGTTCTGGCCCCGCAGGTTCGGTCCTCCTCTTGTCCCTTTTAAGTTCCAGATCTGAAGTTCTCAAGAAACGTTCTTGGGCTTTGCTAATGATGCGATATACACAGCTGAGCTAATGGCAGACGGGCTGACGGCTGGCCTTAAGTTTTCCTGGTTTCTTGCTTCATGCGTATTTTGAGGCATTTCTGCTGCCTTGGAAGACATGAGTACTGGCACTCCATGGCTGGGTTATCTCCTTCCAGTGCTGGAAGGCACAGTTACCACTGTCTCCTGCCACAGCTAAGGAAGAATGGTCATGCCTCGGCCTGCAGGTGAGGGAGTCAACACAGTCATGTTTTGACATAAAGTATCTTGACAAGAAGAGAACAGGAAAGAGGCCACAGCACAAGGCTGGACTCTGCTGCTCCTGCCTTTCCTTTCTCCGCAGCGTCTTATGTTGGTCACTTGTGATGATCAGCTTTGAAGCACTGGGGGACTTTATCTTGCCGTCCTCCCTGCAGGTTCTCTGCGTCCACCTGTCCCACTTGGCCTCCTCTTCTGTGACTCTTAAGAGAGAAGGGGCTTCTCAGATTTTATGTTTGTTTGTTTTCTCTCCTTAGCAGTAGGACTTGATATTTTGAATTTTGGAAGAACTAAAAGATAAATAAACCGGGATTTTTGTTTTGTTTTTTGTAAATTTGTCTTTTATGGCCATTTCTTTGCAGTTCCTGAAATCAAGTTTTGCGTACTAGAATGTTAAGATGTTAAAACAAAATGCCTTTATCCAACTAGTACTACAAAAGTTCACTGGTGGTTGTGAGCCTTGACATTAGTTTGAGAAACAGACAGCAGATAGCACAGGAGACCAGATTTGTGGCATAGCATGTGACTTTATAGGAGATCCCTCAACTCTTAGAGTGGAGTAGTTCTTTCATGAAAACAAATCTTCAGTCATTTCCTTGTAAATGCTATGGAGGGCAGCAGCTGCACGAAGGGAAACCTTCAGCCTTCCGATCTGCATGGCCTGGTCTCCAGGGCTCACAACTGTGGAGAAGGATGGAGAAGTAAGGCAGCGGCCGTGTTCCGTTTACACCCTTGTTTGAGACAAGGTCTCACTCTAGCCCTGGCTAACCCATAACTCACTGTACAGACCAGGCTGACCTCAAATTTAGAGACCGTGCCCTTGCCTCCTGAGTGCTGCTGGGATTAAAGGTCTAAACCGTCACACCCGTTCAGTTATACACTTTCACATATACCTGCTGTTTGTCACATGCAGTGGTGCCTCCTTTCATAAGAAAGTGAAGCCAGAATAGAGAAGAAAGGGTTTTAAAGACCAGCTTTTGTCTCCACTTCTGGGGATTGAGTCCAAACAAGCATAGACATGGTCCAGAATTAAATACATACAGCTGTTAAGGAAGAACTTCACAGTAGCTAATGTCAGCAGGTTAGCTGACACGAGTTAGTTACACGAGTTAGTTACACGAGTAGGTTATTTTCTCTGAATAAACAGAACTAAGAAGTATAAAATTTTACTACTCACTCTTTAGTTCTTGCTCTAGGATATCGCTTCCAGATTGAAATACCTGCCACAGTTCAAGGTACGCATAGCCTACATCTTGACATTCATTCTTTTCTTCATCCAGAGGATCACTTACCACTGTAAACTTTAAACTGAAAATAAATAAAAAGGAGTCCATTTAACTCAGCACGGTTATGAACACATGTAATCGCACTGCAGAGGCGGTTGGATCTCTGAGGTCAAGGGCAGCCAGGGCGACAAAGTGAACCCCCCACCCCCAAAAGTAATCATGGAGTTTGGAGAGACGGCTAAGGGATTAAGAACACTGGCTACTCTCCCCGAGGACACAGGTTTGACTACCAGCACCCACCTGGTGGCTCACATCATTTATCACTAACTACTATGGCAGCCTCTGTGGGCACGCCACGTGGTACAGACATGGCAGGCAAACACCCATACAAGTCGAATAAAAATGGAAAAGTAATCACAAATAGTAGTGTTTTCCCTGAATCTGAATCCCATCCCCTGCCTCCCTCGATTTCCTAAGGAGCCAAGAGTCAGGAATCAGTTTTGGGATGGGTTAGGCACCTGTGGAAATGAGGACACCATGTGTATCCTGGGGATTGAACTCAAGCCATTAGATTTGGAAGCAAGCTCTTTTACCTATTAATCTGTCTCAGCCTTTTTGAGACAATCTCATGTAGCTCAGGCTGGCCTGCAACTCGCTACATAGCTGAGATTGGCCTCCTGCCTCCACTTCCTAAATGCTATGACTGCAGTTTGTGCCAACCCTCCTGACTCATTAACCTTTGAAAAGCAAAGTGTTAGTTCTGAAAGACCACATCCCCTAGCTGGAGCAGAGCGGCACGGACCCCTACAGTGAGCCTCAGCTCTGTGAAAGAGTCCCTGTGTCTACAGAAAGCCAGCTTGAGAAAAGACCAACTACTGTGGAAAGTCTTTCACTCTTGAAAGGGCAATGGAACAACACTGCAAAGACCACAGATTCAAAGCCAGCTCTGACAAAGAGGTGCTAACACCAAAGGCAAAGTCAGCTGAAGGCACACGGAGCAGAAGGAAAACAATGAAGGAAGAAGTGGACATAAAGACAAAACACCCATGCACATGAGTATAACTTTTATAAAATTTTGTTTTTGTGAACCATATGCATAGTGCCTGCAAGAAGCCAGAAGAGGGTTTTAGATGCCCTGAATGGAATTAAAGATAGTTGTGAACTCGTGTGAGTACTAGGGGCCAACACTGGGTCCTCTGAAAGGCCAACCAGTGTTGCTGCTGAGCCATCACTCCACCTCACACATACAATTTTTGTTTTTTAAGAACTTTATTTAGGGGCTGGAGAGATGGCTCAGGGGTTAAGAGCACTGGCTGCTCTTCCAGAGGTCCTGAGTTCAATTCCCACAACCACATGGTGGCTCACAACCATCTATAATGAGATCTGGTGCCCTCTTCTGGTCTGCAGGCATACATATAAGCAGAACACTATACATGATAAATAAATCTTTTTTTTTTTTTTAAAAAGAACTTTGTTTAACTTTATTTTATGGACATTGGTATAATGATGTCAGATTCTCTGGAACTGGAGTTACAGACAGCTACGAGCTGCCATGTTGATGCTGGGAATTGAACCCAGGTCCTCTGGAAGAGCAGTCAGTGCTCTTAACCACTGAGCCATCTCGACAGCCCCCACATACAATTTTTAAAGTATTTTAAAATATAAGTATAAACCAGTTGGTAGTGGTCTTTCATGCCTTGAATCCCAGCACTTGAGATAGAGGCAGGTGGATCTATGAGTTTGAGGCCAGCAAGTTACCTTAAAAAATCCAAATGATCTGTCTGCCCAGTGTAGGACATTATCGAGATTGATAATGTTGCAGTTACCCATATACAAGTCCCTAAATCTACACTGAATGGGCAGTCAGGTACAAGAAGTTGACGGTGATGGCGCACGCCTTTAATCCCAGCACTCGGGAGGCAGAGGCAGGCAGATCTCTGAGTTCGAGACCAGCCTGGTCTACAAGAGCTAGTTCCAGGACAGGCTCCAAAACCACAGAGAAACCCTGTCTCAAAAAACAAACAAAAAAAAAAAAGTTGACTCGAGCATCAAGAAGAAATTAAGTCTGCACTGCCAGTGTGAAGTGGCTCACCGTCCCTCTTCCGGATCTTGAGCATGCAGCATGGCAAACAGAAACTGCCTTCTGCCCTGTTGCTCCACTGGATCCAGGTCGATCACTGTATGAAAGGTAAAAGAGAAAGAACACAGGGATGAGGCTGTAGCCCAGTGGTATACAGTGTTCGCCTCGTGTGCAAGGGGTCCTGCAGGTTGGCTCTGTGTCATAGATGTCATTGCAGATAGCTAGACTGGAGCTGGCTGTGTCATAGGGGTGCACTTGGGAGGCAGAGGCTGGCCAATCTGAGTTTGAGGCCAGCCTAGTCTAAAGTGAGTTCCAGGACAGCCAGGGCTGTTACACAGAGAAATACTGACTTGAAAAACCAAAAAGAAAATAGCTAAAATTGGAGCTGAAGAGATGACTGAGGTGAAGAGCATTGAGAGTCCAGGTTCAGCTCCCAGGGCCCACTGGTGGCTAACTACTATTTGTAACTGTCCTACCAAGGGAATCTTCTGACCTCTGCAGGTCCTGCATGCATGTGATGAGCAGACATACATGTGGGAAGAATACCCAGACGAGAAATAAAAAGAAATCTAAATAAAAATTAAAAAGAAAGTAGCTAAAATCATCTCTGTGTGCATACTATCTGTGGCTGCCTGCCTCCGTGTATAGATTTATATACAAATAGCCGGGCAGTGGTGGCGCACGCCTTTAATCCCAGCACTTGGGGGGCAGAGGCAGGCAGATCTCTGTGAGTTCGAGACCAGCCTGGTTTACAAGAGCTAGTTCCAGGACAGGCTCCAAAACCACAGAGAAACCCTGTCTCGAAAAACAAAAAAAAA